CGCGCTTGGTTATCAGTTCGTTGTGCGTTGAAAGAGAAAAGAATTTATGAACGAGATCACGAATTGCATGCAAGTGTTCGTATTGTTTTTCCGGGAAAAAGAGGTTTAACGGAACTTCTAGCTACTAACTAAAAGTTAAAAGTTTACTAGGAACTTTCATTGATGCAAAATCAAGAACAGTACTGATCTAGAGAGCTGGAATGTTTCTAGAAAAGCGGTAAGCGCGGCCAGGACATAAAGCTGGAAACTTATTAGGCATATATCGAGTCAATTTTGTATGGAATCAGGAATCCTTGGGTGACTACTTAGACAGAGCCCAGGAGACGTTTTGTGGAGAAACTATGTCAATACAGCCTGCATAAGATGAATTTGTGGTTCGTGACGTGTGATAGTGTATGACACCTCAAATTAAAAAAAAAAGGATATTTAACCTTTAAAGGGCGTGAGGATTAAATATTTCTTCAAAGTCAACCTACATAGCTTACGATTTTCTGTTTTCTACCTATTTGCCGGTGAATGACTCATCATATTAGTGATAAACCTTTACAATTTACGTTTGTCATCCATTAACGATTATAAAGAAAAGCAAGGAAAGAATTCTAACCCTGTAGACTTGTCGATCCGTGCCGCAGGGAATTGGATTACTGCCAGATCGCTCATCGTTACTCGTTGCGATATGGGCGCAAATCGCAACCAACAGTCCGTAAATGCAGCAGCTTGAGTAACTCGATGCGATCTCGCATTCAGGTGCAAACTATCTGGGGATGCCTTAGATCTAAAGACAAAAAATGGTATCAGGTTGGCTTATAGAATTGAAAATTCTCACTTTCGAGGGAACAGTGGCCATGGGACAATTTCTAGCCTGTCTTTGTACATATCCACTTCTTCGTAGACTTCATCGCTGATGCTGCCCACATACAGAACCATCAAATCGCTTCTCTGACTGTTCTATGTGTACTTTTACATCTTATATTGGTTTATTCAGGTTGACAGAGGCGCATTTCCACCGTAACCGGCATATGAGACATGTACAAAATGTTTATATGGAATAAACATTATACAAAGTGAGAGTTTTTTTGAATAAAACATTCGATGTTAAAACTATTCCTTGCATTCTCATATTGTTTAAGGTAAAAATGAGCCCCAGCTTTTCTAAAAATCTCTTCTTCGCGAAAATTTGACAACACACAGATTAAGCTCACCTGTA